GGGAAAGAGAAGAAAAGAATATTAATTAAGACAGTTGACAGATATTTTTCAGAGAGCTCATTCACAAACCACTTGAGTGGTCTAGCTGAGGCTGCAAATGCAAACAGTGCTTTCTCCAGCACCCAGAATCTCCCTATACATTTCTGACATTTTAGCTTTCCACTGAATGAGGGCCTTGGGTTCAGTGGATTGTTGATTAAAAGTTGGTTTGAAGCCAAGGGCACTGGGGGTCTGATATGTGTCTCAACACTGCCATCTCCTGGAGAGGACTCCACAGTTCACTCTTTACCAGCACTGCGGTGTAGAGGGCCTGGCTGGTCTTTCATTACTAAATATCTTGCCCTTTACCCAGGACTGTGGCACAGAGGCTGAGGATGGTAAGAACAACCAGTTCCCAGATGGGAGGACACAGACTGGTCCAGAGGGGTCCTGAGACGACGGGCGTCTGGATGGCAGTTGTGAAAGGCACTGTGGGAATGTGCAGAGTCGCTCATTTCAGACGAGCCCTGCGGCAGGTGTGCAGGAAGCATCCCAGGAGCAGCTGCCGAGAGGAGGAAAGCAGCTGGCATACCCCCGGCGGCAGGTGTCAGAGTTGGGCAGCACGCACCTGGGGAAACACACAAGTGAGAAAGGCCCATCTTTCTCACCATGCAGAGTCCAAAAGAAGAGAAGCAAGTGCCAGACGTGCGGGAGGGAGGTGGGTCCCACTCACCTTTGACCTGTGGAGGACAGCAGGAGTCTGACGCAGAATAGGGTGGGGTATCTGGGAGCTGGCGTTGCCTGAGGATTAGAGACATGCATTCCTTTTGTTTGTGACGTATTCCGTCATTATACTTTTTTTTTCCACAAACTGGTAGCAGCCCTCTGTGTACAGCACCCCTAGGGAGGGTTCCAGGTGCTCCTGGGGGCCAAAGCCCACCAGAACATGCCCAGTGTCGTGTTGAGTGAGCTCTGAGTCAAACAGACCCGGGTGTGAGTCCCAGCTCTTCCACTTCCTAGCTGTGTATCCATGAACAAGTACTTAACCTCTCCAGGCCTCCATTTCCTCACCTATAAAATGGGAATAATCATTATGCCTTCCTCATACCATCATAGTGAAAATTACATGAGATACTGTGTGTAAAGCCCATAACATACATCCCCAAACACAGTGAGTGCTCAACAAAGCTTAATTAACATTATTGTGTCTTCTTAACATTCTCAAAGCACTTACACCAGAGAGATGGTTGGGCTAAAGCAGTATAAAATGTCACCACTAAAGCAATGGTTTTCCACCTGTGCTCTGGGGAATCTCCAAGCTCTTGGAAGGAGCTCAGGTGTTTTACAAAAAGCTGTTTTACAAAAGAAAAATTTTAAATGCCTGGAGGAAATATTTTATAACTTTTTTCTGTTTTATATATTGAGGTGCAAGTAAAATTTCATCTTAAAAAATGAGTACCAACACTAATAAAAGTGTGAAAATGTCTGTTCCAAAAAACCCTACCTGTTCAAAAAGTTTCTTATGGCTCAGAAACTCTGTGGTTCTAAGTTATATATAATCACCACCATCCTCCTCTTGATTCTCTTGCTAGAGAGTAAGCTATCATATTTTTCTTGGTTCATTAAGATTTCAACATCATGCAATGAAGAGAGAAATCTGTTTTTATTATTTACTAGAAAACTTATATTTTCTCCTCAAATTGGTCCTTTATAGTTTATTCACTTTTTATTAATAAGGGAATCGAAAACGTACATTTCCCTTCCTCCAAAAACTCCACCGAAAAAACTCCACCGAAATAAAAGTAAAGGAATAAAGAGGCATAAACAGAAAAAGACATAGAGTACGTGAATAGAGACTACAACAGACCATATTTCAGTAACAGTATGGCAGACAGAAATAGGATGGATGGTAACTGAATTAGCAGAAGGGAAAAGCTGCCTGGGGATGGCAGAGGGGATGTAGGAACCAACAAGACATTGTCCAATTTGAAAACAACTCCAGAAAAGCCCAAGACATTGGCATCACCAGCAGTTTCTGAATTCAGGGGTAAGGTAGAGCTAAAAGTGAAAGAATTGAATGACAGTTTAATTAAAGAACAGCTGGACCCTTAAATCAACTTCTCCCACCTGTATAGTCAGGCAACTACCTCTATCATCCCAACAGAAATTGGAAAGTTTTATTCTCTGGAGAAACGGATCCAGGGAGATTGTAGAGCTATTGGGCGAAAAATGGAAGGACTCATTGAGCACATCCAGGTGAACAAAACTCCCAAGATTCAGTGCAGGATTTACAGAGCTCATGGTTGGATCAATCCATACATGAGCTCTCCCTTCCACCTTGAGATGATCCTTACTGAAAAAGAACACATTGTTCCTAAACCAGAAGAAGAGGTTGCACAGAAGAAAAGACATCCTAGAAGAGACTGAAGAAACAAAAACTTAGGGCCCGGGAATAAATGCTGAAAAAAATAAACGCAAATAAAAGCAGAGAAAAAAAAAAACTCAAGAAAGAAAATATAATCGTAGTAAATTATACGTGAACACACACTGATAATAATGTAATCCCTGAATATAAACCTAACCAAAAATTCTTATACAGTTTTATGATATTGGGAGGCTGGGGATAGAAGTGGGTGTCAGATATGATATAAGAAAGTTAAATCCTCCTGGAAGATGACAGTAAGTTCTTAAGATGTATAAAGCAAGAACAGCAATATAAAACATTATTCAGATAAAAAGTGGTTGAAACATCTAAAAGAGTTGGAAAGTAACTGCCTCTGGGAGAGCCAAACTTGGGGACATGGGGAGGAGTGGGGCAAAGGATTACTGGTTTTCATTATAAGCCGTATATATGGCACCGTTCAGCTTCGTATCACTCTACATGTATAAATCTATAAACGAGGACTTCCCTGGTGGCACAGTGGTTAAGAATCCACCTGCCAATGCAGGGGACATGGGTTCGATCCCTGGTCCAGGAAGATCCCACATGCCGTGGAGCAACTAAGCCCATGTGCCACAACTACTGAGCCTGCGCACCACAACTACTGAAGCCCGCATGCCTAGAGCCTGTGCTCCGGAACAAGAGAAGCCACCGCAATGAGAAGGCCGCGCACCGCAATGAAGAGTAGCCCCTGCTCGCCGCAACTAGAGAAAGCCCGCACACAGCAACGAAGACCCAACGCAGCCAAAAATAAATAAATTGTTTTAAAATTTACAAATTAAATTTTGTGATTGACTCTGTGATCTCACAATTTCACATTCAAGGTTCAAGGCAGTTGTTTACTTTCCTTTACATTTGCGGCACCACTGAATTCAATAATGTTAATGAAAACTGAAAATCACAAGCAAATTATCGATACACTCGAGAAATATGGCATGGCACATCACAGACTGGAATGCATGCTCCACCCAGCAGGTCCTTGTGGAGATCCAAAGGTCCCTGTGTTGAGTAGCAGGAACATGTGTTGGTGGTTTTAAAATGAGAATTTAAAAGTTTTAATACTTTCCTTACAGTTTACTCTCCCTTCCCAAACTCACTCTGGCTACTCCTTTATTTCATTGCATTTCATGTTCAATGCATTGTACTGTATTGGGAGAAAATTTGCATTCCTTTTCAGAAAATTTCATGTAAGATTTAATGATAGCTACCTTCAAAACTAAGCAAATTGTTTAAAACAAGGGCAATGATTAACTTTAAGAAAAACATTGTTGTCTGAGACTGTTTCTAAGCAGTTAACTCCTCCCTACTCAACAATCATGATGTCAGCAATGCACATTAGACTGTTTTGGGCCTTCAGTGCTCTGAATTTTCCTATTATGCTGAAGGGATTTCCATGAAGGGACCCAGAAATTGATAGAACCATTGGTCACTCCTTGAGGGGCTGTCTCTATCTCTACCTTCTACAGGAAATGGTTATAAAAATCAAGAAATTCTTATAAAATGATTTTATAAAATGAATAACTTGCTTTCTAAATCCCTTCCTCTCAGACACATAACTTGCTTTTGTTTTTTGGAGGATGAATAGCAAAGTGTGGTCTCCTTGGGGTTGAATGCCATGCAAACCAAAAGGAGTGCAAAATAGACTTTTCTCTCCAGCTGGTTGAGGTTAGCACATCCATGACATCTGCATGCTGCAACCAAAGCAGCCGGGATTTCTTTCAGATTGCAGCCGGGCTTGATCAAGCATTTATTGAGTGCCTAGTACGTGCTCATAACTCTACTAAACACTAGGCAGGACTGCAGGACTCACAGTATTAAGACACAGGGCTTCCCGTGAACACCCATCTGGGACTATTCACAATTCAACAGTCCAATCCTCAGTTTTCTCCAATGACTCCCCCAGGGTCTTCACATACAAATTACACCTTCTTTAAAGCTCTACTGCACATTGATATCAACTCAGCACACTGCCTGGTACAGAGTTATTACTTAATAAGTATGAATTACTGCTTTTTACCTGACATATGGCCATAAATATGTTGTTTATATGAATTCATATATCAAGAGAGGGCATTCCTCACCACCAATC